TTTAGTTTTTTTTTTTACTCTGCAGTGAATGCATTTCTTTTTCCGCACAGATTTTTCTCTTCCTATGAGACCATTTCAGTAAATATGGAATTTTGTGACTCAGAAGTAATGCAGTCTATTTCAAGAATTCACTTAAAGGCTTCCAGTTGGCAACCAGCTCTTCGAGTTTAGTCTTCGACGCCATGGCTGTGTCGTTGTTTCTTATGGTTTGTGTGGAGGCGGCTGCTGTCCCATCAGCGACCTGCAGAAAGCTGAGTTAAGGAGATGGAAGGTCCAGAGCTGGTTTGCTCCCTGATGCGCTCCTAGAGAAAGTCTGCCTCCCCTTGAGTGTCGCTTATCTAGGACAGCAGGGCCGCTGGGCCACACGGCGTGTCTCGGGACAGAGGCAGGCTCGGAGGGAGGGGCTGCCCGTCTGTGGCACCTTGTCCTCCCAAGTAGTGAATAAAACAGGAACCCCGCAGTGCTGCCCCCGAGGAGGCCGGGCGACTGCAGCACGAGACGCCTCAGCGCTCCCGAGGAGGACAGGGCTCCTGCTCCTGGAGGGCCCCAGCGAGCTGGAAGCACAGCTGCCGCGCATACCTCGCATTCTTTCCTACCCATCGCTCGTGAAGAGCAGGGTACATTATTCAAGTGTCGATTCACGCAGTTATGATTTGCTGTTTTTTCAGGACCCGTATTAAAATGTGAAAGCCAGACAAAAAGCAGAAGACCAGGCTCTGAAACGCTACCTCACAAATGGACGTCTTTTGTAGTGTGGTGCCGTGTGTCTGCAGAAGTGTTTTTTGACGCCTGGTATAAAAATAACTTATGTGAAACCCACTTAATACCCCGTGCTCATTCACTCGCATTCATGTTCGTGTTCACTACTTTACTGCTTTTAAGCAACATCAGTTCTGTTTCATCTGACGAGTAAAACAGCTTTCATAACCTGCTGCCACAGGGAGCTTCTTAATTCATCCCAGTCAGAAGCTGTTAAAAACAAACTATTTTGCAAAGACTATAAGGTTTTTAATAGATAACAATAAGCTTTGCCTTAAGGAATGAATTACACTGCATTTACAATAAGAGGATAAGGAATTCTCAACAATCTTGCATTGCAAATAAAGCCAAGATTAATTTCGGGTGAATATCGATTTTCTCCTTGGACACAGCAAGCAGGCAGTGTGCGACTGCAGGAGTCACGATCACCAGTTTGGTGCTGATCCGGCCACACTACACCGGAGTGAGCATTCTCACCACGGCTTACAAGAGAAAAGGAGACATGAGCTTCTGTGAGGCTGTGCCTGTGCGTATGCAACGCATCCAGATCCTAGTCATTATGCGCCGCAGATGAAGAAGAGCTGTTGGCGGCTAATGTAGCAGAATTTGCATTAATGTCAATTGATGTTAATGCAGTTTAAGAGGCCTTGCATTTTTTTTCTGTCATTAAAAGCCAGATAGAACAGTTGGGAATTTCTGCACCAGTATAAAATATTTGACTTATTCAGTAATAAAAAACACATTTTCGCCAATCGAGGCAACACCAACTGCTTTATATTAAGCGCAGTGCACACTGGGGCAAAGTACTTAAAATGTCTGTTCTTTATTTTTAGTCCTAGTTTGATTTTTTTTAATACACGCACCTTACAGATCTGTCCGTTATCTCAGTGCTATACGCATTGGCATCTTGTTTGTCACTTTTGCACGCTGAGAAACAGCGATAGGGAGCAGAGATGATAATAGGAGCTGAGGCAGTAGGTGTGCACATAATGGAGCTGTCAGTGATGTGATAAGAGAGCTGTCTGGGGTTTGTGAACCTTGTCATGGGACTCCATAGAAAGTGCCAAGGACATCTCTTGAACAATCTCTCCCTCCCTGCCTCCAAAATGGATGGTGTTCAGTCTTCCCCTTAAAGAACTACTGGTGGAGACTGAACACCATCCATTACCACAGCTACTGTACATACTGGACTATTGTACTGCCTTTTTCCAAAATATGTTTTGGAGGTACTTGTGAATTGTTTTGAAGTGGGTTATTTAACCAAACCATCATAATCGAAATGGATTCCCCAGCACAGAATAAACAGTAGAGAAGAGTTTCAGTGTTGCAGAGACCCCAAAAAGAGCAGGAGCACCTCAGTAACAGTATGTCCTACCTCAAAAGGGAGCAAGGGTGTAACCCCAGCGTCCTGGCCAAATTTCCCCCTGGACTTTACCAATCATGGCCTCCTAATAATCCCCATCTCTGCACTGGCTTCATCACTCTGTTCTCCTCTGCACTGAGAGCTGGTGTGTGGGGAGTGTACTGGTGCACTATGACTGCCATTGCATCATCCAGGTGGAGGGGAGACCCCATTACTTGTACGGTGGTTTGAGTGGAGTGTCCAGAAAAGCGCCATAAAAGTGTTAGCAATTATTATTAATGACCTAATCTTCAGAACACTTCCTGTCCTGTGGTGGGTTCTCAGTAGAGTTCTTTAAGAAGTGAAGTTTTCAAAATCTTCAAAGGCACTTATAAAAGTCACCCCATTACACTTCCTCAGACTGAACAGTGAAACACAGTTCAGACTGCGCTAGTGGAAACTAGGAAAAGTGCTTTTAAAACTGGGAACAGCCAGCATTTCTGTACCCCAAAGGTTGTAGGAGTATGGCACAAGCTACAAGTCGATACCCTGGCTTCTTTGAGGAAAGAGCTGGATGAGACCTTGGGCTGAATTCACGGTCAGCTACCCAACTACCAAACTTCTGGATGAGCCAACATTAGTGAAAAGGAAAATGGAATCATAAGGAGTCCACGTGTTCTCAAAGTTTCATCTGAAAGTCATTCTTGTATTAAGCAGTGATACAGGTTGCTCTTCCTCTGTGGTTCTGCAAGCTTTGCAGTGAACAGTTTCACCGGATGTGTATAAGGGCTTCCCAGCCCTGCACTGCATGAGTGCTGCCTCTGCCAGGCCTGCAGTGCCTGTGGAAGGTGACTTTGGCTGTCAGAGAAGCTGCCTCAGACACCAGCTGTAGCAAGTTTGGAGCACAAGCACATTACTGATTTCCAGTGGTGATGTACTGTAAGTGTCCCAGCCAACAGAGAAACAAGCCTTCTTGCACAAAATGCAACATGGACACCAGGAGCAATCCCCTTTAAGTGTGCAGAGTCAGGCTATGGTTTCCCATTTTCCAATGATTTCTTCTCTTTTTTTGTGTGGAAAAACTAGAATTTTCTGTGCTTGTTGGCAGTCCTTCATGAGGACACAGAACTGGTTTGCAGTTTTCATCCATCTTTCCCTCTGTGCATTCTCAATAACCGCTTTGTCCTCCGAGGGTCGTGGCCCAGCTGGCACAGAGCAGAATGCCGGTCGCTCACGGGGGCCGGGGGGGTTTAGTGAAGCCGGCTGAGCTGGAGAGCATGTTTTGTGCTGTGGGAGGAGCACCTGGAGAAAACCCACAGGCACATGGGAGGAACACGTCAGAGGCCTCCTGGTGCAGACTCAAACCCAAGACTGGGAGCCGTGAGGCAGCAGTGCCACCCTTACTAAAGAAATCTTGCAAATGAGCAATTATATATTTTTAGAAGACAACATTGTTTTACTTTTGTCACTGCATAATGCTTAATTGTACAGATCAACCGGTCGTTTTAGAGATACCATCTTGATGGAGTTCTTTGTCCTGTTTGTTTTTTTTTGGTAATGGGGCATTCAAACCTGAAACAGAGGACAAAAAAATACTCTCTCACAGCACTGCTGGAGTTGAAAGTTCATGTTTCTTTAGAATTTAACAAATTATTTTACTAGTGTTATATGCTATAATACTTTATTTATAGTTTAATAATATTTAACTTGCTCAAGTGTCATTGGCTTATGACATTCACTAGAAGTTTGGAAGAGAAAGGTTAGGGTACCGTCATGACTGGGGAAAAAAACACCAAACTCTTTTCAACTTTAAAATTATTTAGAGAGCGGAGAAATTGTCCATTGTAGAGCTGGTCAACTGGATGGAGTCTTGACCCAGGACTGGACAGTGCTCTCTCTTTCCCTGACACTGTATGCCCTTTTGTGGCCTGGAGTTAGTCTCGCAGTGGTCAGCCACCGGTGGCAGCAAAGACCCCAAGACCCCAAACTTCATCACCTCTTGCACTGACAGCGTTATCTGTCCAGTGTGTCAGAATAATGAATCTCCTGCATTCTGGTTCATGTTTGTGTAGGTTACTGACTGTGTCCAAGCTGATGGTATTTGAATGAATTGCATTGTTATAACCCCAGTGCTTAGCATCGTGCACTGTTGTGCTTTATTGAAAGGCTGCAGTGCTTGCGTGTGATGTTTGTGTTGACGTGTGAGTGCAGATCCCCCTGTTACCCTGCTACCCTGTCCCCAGCTGGTGCTTCGTGTGAGGGTGGAGGCTGCCATCTGCGAGGCTCACGTTTCCTCTCTGTGGCTTTCCTTTGATGCTGCGGTTGAATTTTGACACCAAAAATTGTGCCGCTTGGCGATAGAAGGATGCTCTTGTTGAAATTCAGTCATCGGCATCAGTCATAGAGGACATGCTATTAACTTGTGCCATGAACCGCTCTCATGAAGTTTTCCTCAAGCGGTATGGATGTGGATGTCTCCCACTCCCCTCTGGAGCTTTGAACTTTGTTTCCTTCTTCCCATTTAACCAGTTTCTCTCACAAAACACACAATACCGATTTTACCTACAAGTGTTGTCCTAGAGCTGTGCCTGTGAATATCCCTGTGTTCTAAAGTGGTTTCACATCTTAAAGCAGATACACAAATCCTAAAGTGCTTAGAGTAAAAAGTCACAAAATGTCAAGCCATTTTATGTACAGTATTTTCTGTCTGTTCTTCACTGGTCTTACTGTGTCTTTTTACATGAAACATCATGAAGTCAGGGAATGTTCCTGACCAGTTTCATGTCTCTTTCCTTGCCTGCATATCTGTGAATTAAGACTGCATTGCTGAAGACTGAGGTATTCTCCTAATCTTCAGTATATCGTTAAACTCTTCTCGTTTCTTTTTTCCCCCCTTCAGAGGAGCACAGCTGGACAAATGATTCTGAGAGAGGTCAGATATGAGTAAAGTTATCTTATGTTAAATTTTTCATTTTCATTTTTTTTTTAAATCCTGCATGTCAGAGGCTGAATTCTCATGTGGAGGAGTGTTCTCATCGGTTTTATAATCCCACCTCCCAGGTTGTAGCTTGGAATCACATCCCATTTTTTAAGGATAATATATACTAAAATGTCCAATATATCAATTGGAATGGAGCAGCCCCCTTTGCCGTGGCTTTTACCAGCGCCCTCCACATGAGAACAGTCTGTACTCCCAGGTACAGTCCGCATGGAAGAGCCTGTTAACATGGAGGTAAGATCCCTCTCAGACGTTGCATCTGTTTGCATGATTTTCAGCCAACAGCTCCGGTACAAATTAAAAGGTGGTTTTACACTTAGCTGTTATTGCAGTCCTTCTTTGCTTCCTTGTAAATTAATTGCATAATTCGTATGAAGTGCAGGCAGTGTTGCTATTGATTTAAATGATATTTCGGCATTTCTGTTGAATTGAGAGAAGTCAGTGAGCAGGTACAAATAGAAAAAAAAATTAGGACGTTACCCATTGCTGTGTGTGCTTAATAAGCCCGATAAAAGCTACTTTGTTCGCTGCGTTACATTAGGAAGTTTGTTTAACAGCAGTAATTGCTAAGTGTCAGCCCACCCCTAAGACTTCATTTTTCTTTTTTTTTTTAAAAGGCTGCAAGCAGCTGCAAAGTCCGAGGTGCGGGTTTATTTTTTGAAGCTTTAGTTTGCCCAACAGGGCCTCCATCAGATCAAAAACAGTTTGGCTTTGGACAGCTCTTCGGGCGCTGAATGATGGATCATTAAGAGTACAGACGTACTGCCCACTGTACTGCTCAGCACAATCTGGGGGTTCTGGCGTATGCTCTACCACTGCTGTGTGATGAAGGGCTCAGACTTCAAGACTGCCCAGGTTCCCTTACTCCAGCGAAAGCAGATGAGCTTCCATCTTGAAGTGCCAGTCCCAGAGCAGGTCCTCTTGCGTCTGGGGGGAGCTCTGCGTTGCAGTGCTTCGTGTTTTTAAACTGGCGCCCCTCTCTTGGGCCCAGTCGCTGCCCCAGACAGTGTCGTCAGCGCTGAGGGGCAGCGTGAGGGTCACCTGTCACTAACCACGTCTGTCATCGATGTGACCGAGAGTCTTCTCTCCCTGTCTGTCATACTCAAGACCTGGCACAGGCCCCTGAAGAAATCGGGAGGAATGCAGTGTAGGTGCACATACCCTGAGTATACTGGTGATGAGCACTTGGGACTGTTTGCCTAAACAAATGGAATCTCAGCTGTGTGTAATGCTTAAATCATCCCACTGTTTTGCTTCTCCTTCTTCAGTCAGCTGAAAATATTACTTCAGCCCCGTTTAAAATATAGCTTGTAAAACTATTTTAATTCCATGAGGTCAGAGGTAAAGAAAATGCTATCATCTGTTTGTAGCAGATAACTCTGACTGTAGAAAGTCAGGCCCTCTTGATCTTTAAAGTAGGAGTAAGAAATGGTTCATTTCATCTTTCAGTGTTGAGGATAAACTGTTTTTCTCAGTCAGTAGTGGTCTTCAGCAGTATGCCTGACCCCACAGGTTATGCTCAGCAGTATTATGTAATGAACCTAAATTATAAAAATATTGCTTTTGCTTAAAAATGCAAAAGAAGTTTCAAATTTTAATTTTAATGCAGTTCTTCAGGGCAGGAAACCTCCTTTTGTATGTTCAAGGCTCGTTCTCATCCGCCTTCTGTACAGGAAGCAGAATTCCTGCAGCATCAAATTGGAAAATATTCCAACATTCCAAAATCACTTTTATCACAAAATCACAAAATCTAATAACAACAATCTTGTAGTAAAAGAGTGAAATGTTTTGCACTGTGTAAATAACTGGTTTGCTACAGAAACAGGCCTTCGTTCTGGTTTCGAGCAGACCTCCTCTAGTGATGCTGCACTTCCCAGTGACACCAGTAATCGCAGGAAGATCACACTGGAGCCTTCAAGGCCTCGGGAATCATGCGCTTTCTCAAAATGCCCACAGGCGCTGTGTGGGAAAGAGTACCGTGGCTTTACAGCGTGATTGTGGAGTGTAGATTAAAGGCTGTGCTCTATTCATGTACATGGCGACGCCAGCGTAGGCTCAGTGCCTCCCTAGGTGCCATAACCCTGGTCTGGAGCAGTGATGACCAGGCCCTGCCCCGGCCTTCAGTAACACTACCGATTGAACTGTGTCCTTGCTACGGCCTGCTTTTCAGCCCTGAAGGAGGAGCTGTTCTCCGGTACAGAAAGGTTGAGAAACAGTGCCATAAGCGACTACCGATTTACTGTCTGTTCTCTCCTTCCCCCTCAGAGCCGGTGGCGAGTAGGCAGGGTCACTAGCTTGCTCAGTGCCACGCCCATGAAGTCCTACTAACCCACTGGCTGACACCTTGACTGATCCTTGCATGTGCTGTCGCTCGGTGATCGAACGCCAGGCCCAGGCCTTGATGCATGCACGTCGATGCACCATTGTTGTTGTCTGTGCCTTGTGCTCGCTGTTGTGTTTTTTAACCCAGCTTTGAACATGTTATTTTGAAAAAGTACAGCATTGTTACGTACTCTGAGATTTGTAACCCTTTCCGAGACAACTGCCCTTACCCTCATCTCCAGACAGCTGAATACTATCAGCCGGAATTGTTTCACACGTTTATCCAGAGTGACTTGCAGAGATTACAGCGACCTGTTTTTGTGACTTACGTATTGAGGTGCCTGTTTATCTAGCTGGGTTTGCTGGAAGAATTTGGGAACCCCATGCTCAAGGGTACAGCCCCTGTGCCTCTGAAAGACCAGCATCCTGAACACCCCCAAATCACAGGAGGACATTGTGTGTCTGTAACACACTCATTTAAATCTTTAACACCGGAAAAACACATGCAAATTACTCACACGCAGTAGTATAAGAGGTATCATATCTGAAAGACCTTTGGATACGCACCTCAAAATATATAGTACACTTGTTAGTTCCTTTTTCACTGTGCTGCAAGAGCTCAGAGTAGATAGTCCAATCCGTTCAGAGTTTTCCCTTCCAGAACATAGAAAGTCCATTTAAGCCACTTTTCAGGCACTTTTTGTTCTAAAAACAGATCAGAGGATAGTCTTCCCCATGATATGCTCATGTATAAAACATGATTCTCTCAAGCTCTGTCTTTTAATAGCTCTTGTAAACTGAAATTTTTCAGACTACTTGCTGGTTTTTCAGTCCTGCAATTGAAAGAAATGGTTATGTATCACACAAAGCAACCTCTGTACGCTTTTAAACATCTCCCCGCATCACAGAGCTCAATAGTCCTTCTTTTGTTTGACTAAACCCCTGTTTGTCTCACGCTGGTAATAAAACAAGCCTCGATAATACGCTAAAGTAATTAAGACGCAACAAGCATGATCTGCATTTCTGCAAGTACAGTACGTATAACCCGGACTGGCTCTGATGGATTGCTGCCAGAAAGCCGCCCGGCAGCTTCCTGTCCAGAAGGAATGTGTTCTGACCGTACCTATTCTGTATTTATTCAGGCTGATGGTAGCAGTGGACAGGACGAGGGTGGGAGCCCGTTCTGGGTATAGGCCTCGAGCTTGTAGCTCAGGATGTGACTCTGTCAGACAGGATAGAGCAGTCTGCTTTCTCAGCTCCTCATCTGTAGTGCAGGGCAGTACTCTCGGGCCAGCATCAGCTGGCAAATTGACAGATAAGTGACGATTAATGCTGAATTCTCCATTCTTGTTTTGCAGGCAAGCTGCACAAAAAAATGCTGACCAAAGAGGTGAGCAACGTGCAAAGGCTTAGTAAAATAAAAATCCCAGTGAAGATGGAGATTTCTTCCACATTGCAGCACCCAGTACCATCCCCTCTTATCACAGATCTTGGAGAGAGATTCAGCTGCAGGAGGAGAGCTATCAGACACCCTGGACACCCTGTGTCAGAATTATCATACAAGGATGTGGAGGAACAAGTCATGGTTAATTCCACATAGAAAACTAGAAACAAGAAACGCTATTTCTTCAGCTTCTCACAGCTTCAGGCTGACAGTTGAAGAAGGCTCAACAGCCGGAATGTTGTGTTTCTTCTTTCTACTTTCCCACGTGGAATAAACCTTTGCTTGTTCCTTTGCCACCAACGTAGGTCGACACAGCCCCCCCACTCGAGCACCCCAAGATGTGAACCTCCTAAATGCCTCTCTGCTTTAATGTCCAGAGGGATGCTGCTACTACAAAGACACAGAGTTTCCTTCTAATCTGCCCCCTTTTGTGGTCCACCCAGGAAGTGCATGGCATGCTGAACATTGCATCGAAAACGAAGCCCAGCAGCGGTCTCTTCAGGAACCTGGGCGATTATGGTAAGTGCCCAACTCAGGCCTCGAACTCTACACAGACACAGGTTCTGTCTTCGCAGGCCCTGATACTCTGCTGCAAGAGCGAGAGTAATAAGAGTGAGAGTCCTGTGACGCAGTGGGATTAGTCAAGTCTGGCTTACGCTGAAGGGCTTTGGCAGAGCTGCCATCAGTAAGAGTGGAGGAATACAAAAGTCTGCCTCTGGCACCCATGACTGGAATACCGAAAGGGTTTTCAGCCCTGGCTTGTTCCAGTTCTGTCTTCTGAAACACCTCGGATTCGAACTTTCCCAGTGAGGTGCTGCCCGCCGCCGGCTGGTGTTGGGCGTCTTCTGTGAGGCGCTGAGAAGAGAAGCCGTGCCCCATGCGTTAGGACCTGGATACGGCCTGGGAGAAGTCTCGTGCAGCGTCCCAGCAGCCCTGAGACTGCGCTCTGTTCCGAGGCAGACTAGGTGTCGGGCAAGCGGATGTTCCCTGTTTACACACGGAGACCTGACGCGATCTGAGGTGGCAGCTCCACCCTGAGCCTTTCTGGGGAGATCTCTCGGGCCCGCCCTCACACCCCTGAGGCCGGGAGTCGCCTTCACTCCGTCTCGCAGATTAACCCCCGCGCAGCAGGGCAGGGTCTGCTCCGCCCCTCGATGGCAGTCCCGAGCTCGGCGAGGTGGCTGGGGCTCTGGGATCAGGGAAGCCCGCCTGTCTTCTCAACTCTGCTCGTGGCTAACCATCACCGCACCACACCTTGGGTGGTGACGCCTCCTTCTAGTCCAGCCCTGGAAGGGCGTTACTGATTTTGCTCTCCATTCTTTCAAAATACAGACAGTTATTTTTAGAAAACATCCCAAAGTCTGAGTCCCTGATTGGTATCTATACCATGTTTCGCACCAGCTGGGCCTGATCTGTTCGGATGTATTTCCTAACATGGTAATGTTTTATATTATTATCATTATTATTCCGTTTACAGATAACTTGTCTAGTATGGCCATTGAAAGGTTCAGCAACCTCTTCTTGCTGCTGCTGGCAGTTATTTGTTTCCTCCGTCTTAAAGAAACAAATGTGCTAATTCATAATTTAGTCCACAGATACAAAGTTACTCTCTAAAGGGCAAGGAGTCTTCCCAGCGGCTGTTATTGTTTCAGAGGGTATCTGATGCCCTCTTGTGGTTGTGTGAATTGAATGCAGACGGAGAAAGGTGCTGTACAGGAGAGCAGCACTGGGGAATCTTCTGGGCCAGCTGAAGGAGGCTGTACAGTCTAGGCCATAGTAGTCACTTCTTACATGTAGTTCTAGATGCCTAGCTTTCAAAAGGTGAAGAAAGCATCTATAATAGTTTGGTTGCTGAACGTTACTGAACAAATCCACAGATGCTATCCGGTTTCTAATGCATCACACTACTTAACGCTTGGCATAAGACAAGCCACAGTATGTGATTAAAATTGAAGACGACTGCAAGTGCACACATCAGTGGAAGGCAGGTGGCGTGCGTGTGTTCTGTTGTGTTCAAAAGGGACGGGCGGGCGTGATCTCCTGCAGAGTCGCTGACAGCTCTCAGCTCACCTGGCAGACAAACGGGCGCTTGAAGGACCAGGCTGGGCTTCACCAGGAATCGGAATCTCAGCTCTAGCAAAGCTCCAAACCTCAGGAGCTCCCATAAGTCTTAATACGTTTCAGTACATATCTGTTTTGCCTTTTGCTTGTCTCGAACCTACAACCCCCTGGAAGGATCTCCAGATGCCTAATTGCTCCTTCGTGCTGCTGCTTGATTTTTATCGTTTATTTAGCATTTTATAAATGAATATTGCTTGTTATATTTTAGGGCAATTTAAAAGTTATTATTTATTGGACTTCCAGAGTGATTATTGTTGGAGAGTTAAGATGCTTTATGATCCATGCACGGCAGATGGATATTTCTTTTCTTATCCTGGGGTAAAGCTGGTCTTCGGTCTGGCGATGAGGTTCTAGTGCTCCTTTTAGGGGAGTTGTCCTCCAGGCTTCCTTGATGATTTCGGCACTGCTGTCACAGACCGCACATAGATCAACAAGCAGCTCCTATAAATAGTTTCCTGACAAAGCAGAACTCTAAAAATAGAAGCCGTCTAGTTCATCGTCATATTTCTCTACCTGTGTGGAGCCTTCTAGTGTCAGTTTGTATGTGTTAGAAGACATTACAGACTGGACTTTCCCAGGGCTGATTCCTCTGTGAATTTCTTTGTATATAACATATTTTTGAAAGATGTTTATGTCTGCATTTTGTGCATACGTATGTGTGTTGTGAGTTTGTTAACATGCCTTAGAACTTTGAAGTTCCCATTTTTAAATTAGTCTCTGCCACTTGGAGCCCCGACAAGAACGCAGAAGGATTCGTACGTTTTCTGAAAAAGGAATTGTCTGAACAGAAAATTGCTGGAATTTTCCTTCGGGGAGCCATGGTTTCACCTTGTGGAAAGGACACGTTTCTGTTTTTAAAAAGGAAGACCCCCCCCCCCCGTGGCAGTGAGCCGAGCTGCACTATCTTAAGAATCAGGGTCCTTGGCAGCTCTGCATGTTGCCATTTCTCTGGAGAAATAGAAGCAGCCTTGCTCCTGCCATTCTGTTTGCCTCCAGATTGGGTACAGAGATGAAATTCTTTGATCCCTTTGAGGGGCAGCCTCACAGCTCCCTGTTCCTCAGCACTCACCATGACAAAGGCAGCGTTCCTGTATTTCACAGACAATTTAAACCGAGGGGTGCACAGCGCAAGTGGCAGTGCATTATTGCTGCAAACAATCCTATCTCCCTCCCAAGATGTGTTCAGCAAATTTGGCTGTCCTCTCTCACAGGCACTGGGAGCTACCTGGAAATAACCTGTGATAGCCAGACCTCTCCTGCAGATAAGGTCCTGGGCTGTGGCTGTGCTGTTTATAATCAGGTCAAATATTAACCTTAAGGAAATGCTTCAGCTGCCAAAAGCACATAAATGACTTTTGTCAATACTCTCCGGGACCATTCCATCAGGTACAAGCAGAATATAAACAGCACTTTGTGGCTTTTAGAGAACTCAACCCTTTCTCTCCCAGTAAGAGGTTATGATTTTACTCTTTTGGAACACTTAATAACAAACCTGTCTCTCTTCCCTTTGCAGGGCTGATTTCCTACACTGAGTACTTGTTCTTGCTGACTATTTTAACAAGTAAGTTGAGCGTTAACCAAATATTTTAAACTTCTTTTCAGTGGGGTGGGTTTTATATCTCTGTGAAGCTCTGTTTGCAAACAAAGGATTAATAACAGTTGTAGTTGGAGAGGCTGTTGAGTCACACAGTGTCTTATCTGAGGCCACGGAACAGCATTAGCAAGTACAAAGTTCTCGTGTTTTCCAGTTTGCAGAATTAAGCAATCACAGGTGCAGCTCAGTTTCTTCTCCTTTCCAGAACCTGTGGCTGTTGGCAGGGTCTGCAGGCCTGTGTGACAGAATGCTCAGTGTAAAAAAAAAAAATAACGTTTCTGTTTGTCTGCTCTGCATAGAGAGCTGCAGGACTCACTGCACTTGCATGGGCTGGCCTCTAAAGACTCCTTCATTGCAACACCCCGTGCTTGATTATAGGTCGTGTCAATCGCTGCCGTTTGAGTCCAGTTTGAAACGCTCTCTGGAACTGTAGCGCGCTCGGGAGGCTGCGTTAACCCTTTGACTGTCACCTCTAGGGGCGGGCCTCTGAAAATCCAGCCCGGTTCGGCTCAGCCCTGCCACTGGAGCTTCACTGCTGCCCCGGCCTCACCCATGAAAATATAGCCGACTATTTTTTGGATTGTCTCGATTAGAAGCAGTAAAAGAGTGCTTTCCCTCATGTTTCAAGCTCCGTTAAAGGTTACATTTTACGTTATTTAAAAATATGCATTTACTTTCTGCATTTGAGCATGAGCATTTCTTGTATAAGTGTACAGCATGAAAATGCCTTAGGTGCCTTGTGGCTTATGTGCTTCACTAATTCACACTGTATATGAAATCCATTTTGTTTTGTTCAATGGAAAAGAATGTTTTCTATATTACACACAAATGCAATTGATGGACTGTGTTATTTCAGAACCACACACGGGATTTCAAATTGCATTCAAAATGCTTGATGTCGATGGCAATGAGCATGTGGATAGAAGGGAATTTTTGAAGGTATGTTCTTTTCTGAATGGAATCCATTTTATAGATAAAGTGATAACATTTCCAATAACATAACTTCTTTTGTTTAAAGCCCATTTCCTCTGAGGTGGAAGGTGGGTTCAGTCTTGTTCCACCATGCTTGCTGTGTTATAGTGCTGCTCTTGTTGGACTATATAAAAGACTTGTCATGATTGTGCCAAGTGACAAGTGTCCTCATGGCATCTGTGACGTTGCTGAGCTCAGTGACTCTTGCAGATGCTTCATGCAGCTCCAGTCTCTTCAGTGAGATGAAGCAGTTGTGTTTTTTCTCTGGAGACAGAATTAAGTGTCCTCTCTCCTCTGGGCTGGATCATCTGGGCCCGGTGAGGTTGTCCGGAGCGTCAGGATGGAGCAGAGCTGCTGCGTTTGTGCACACATTTTCCAGCAGCACTGCAGCAGATGGGTGGGAATGAAAACTTTAATTTCAGATTTGGTGAACACGCTTTTAAAATAGCTGGAAACTGAAGAAAACGATTACGGCTGTAGCCTCTGGTTTGTTAAAAGCCTGCCAGGCAGTTTTTCAGTGGCCTCAGGAGACATGTTTATAAGATGTCACATAAAGCCATTCCAGGTAGCTGGACTTGGACGCAGAGGTTTTCAGAGAGGAGCTCTAGCGTGCTCTGGTGCAACTGAGGAGCAGCAAGGACTAGAAATGGAGACATTTCCACTTCTATTATAAAGAATTTACCTCTTGCCGCACGTGCATACATGCATTCTTTCAGTATTTCTTGTGTGTTCCTGGTTTCGGAAGAACCACCTGGTCCTTTCGGACACAAAGGACTCAAAGCTGTTGTGAGGACAGCTGTTCTGACTGCCATCCCTCGGCGCGCCCCTATGCTGGAGCTTGACCGTGCCCTAATCCGCTGTTCGATGCTTCTGGAGTGCTTGTGTTCGGAGGGCGGTTTCACCACGAGCTCTCCCTCGGGGCACAGATGTTTGCCCAGCGGGGATGAAAACCAGTGGGGGTTTTGAAGCAGGGTTAGAATGGTCACCCACTCCTTCCACTGGGCCCCAGCTCCCCTGTCCGGAGGAAGGACGTCAGTGCGCAGGCTGTGGTTCGGTGCCTCTCGTTCTCAGTGTTGAGGCAGCTGCGTGTCGCCTGTGCTGCAGACCGGGTCCCGTGTCTTGTTCGGGAAAGTGAGAGATGCAGTGGGGGGGCTGGGGGCACTTCTTGCAGAGCTTTTTTTGTGCAAAATAAAACGAGCTTCTGTGTGCCCAAGCCACAAGCGTCTGCTTTCCTGCTTCTGTGTGTTTTCAGTTGAATAGTAAAAGCTCGTGTCTTCAGCCTTCAGTGATCCTGTAAAGTATTAGAGCAGTTTCCTCTGGTTCCTCATGCCGGCAGTGGTCCACCGGGGGGAGCAAATCGAGTGGGTCCTGGACTGGCTTCCTGTAGCTGCCTCCCCTTGTGGGGAAGAGCGAAAAGACGGATCCTGAGCTTGGTGTGTGTTTCTGGGAACTGTGAAGTTTTTTTTTTCTAAGCATAATTGTCATGAATTGCAAGATTGCCCCCCGGCTGGGTATCTCCAGAACACGTTGGTGGTTCCTGCAGCAGAGGAGGGGGGCTGTGTTTGGGAGTGTCAGCACGGCTCGGCCCGAGGCCCGATCGATGCTGTTCAGGAACAGGTGGCAGGCCTGGACCTCTTCACGGGTTCACGTTGCGCTGTCCGGACGCGGGTCCGGCTCTGCAGCAGTGACAGAATCAGGATACAGGGGTGGAGCTGCTGCTGGTGGGGTTTTTTTCGGTGCGAGAATCATACCTGGCCAAGGGAGCTCGTGTTGAAATACATCTGTTACTTGGAGCCCGACGGACTTGATGGAAATAACAGTTTAATCTGTCAACATTTCTGTTCCTGCACCACTGTTTTGATGGTTGCTAGAGGCGAAAAAAAAAGCAACAGTGAAACAATGTTTCTTATTATTTTTTTAAAAATTCCTTTTCTCTTTGCGGTTTCATCTTTTTTGCCCATAGTAAAAACTGGTCAGATTTTTTTTTTCAAGTCCTTCCAAACCGCGGTAGTGTTTCCATTCTGTTGCTGAAAGTTTCTAAAGTTCATTGCATAACAATCCCATTAAGAAAGAACAGTCCCATACTTTGCTCCTGGCTTCTTCATCCCCTAATGTTCCTCATGGGTCCAGGTTCTGTGTTCAGTAATAACCAAGGCTGAACTCTGCTTTGCCATATCTTCACCGGACTGGTTACAGTCTGCGTATACTGACATGCACTGAATAGCTGCCACAGGGAATGCTTGTTTTAATCATGATTAATGACAGGTTATTTCTTTGTTAAATGCTACCCTTCCACTGGATAACACAGGATCGTGAAAGAGGTATGTAACCTTAAACTTAGTCTGACAATGTTGTTCAGTGGTGCAATGGATTTTGCACATTTAAAAAAAAATGGATGATTGCATTACTCTGACTCATGTGTTATGTGTTGGTCCTGAGAAGACTATTCAGAATGTAATTTATTCTAATTCAGAATTCATCATAACAGGGCACTTACTTCAAGCCACAGCACCTTCTGGTTCCAACCTGAGTTGCTAATTAACAGTTAACCTGGATGTTTCCTTGCTTAGATGTATGTAGGATGTTGTTCCATGCCTTGTACAGCAGATTGAAACAAACATTCATTTCATAAATGGTCCAATTGCCTGTAAAACACACTCTGAGCTCAGGACAAGCAGGACAAGCTCCAGGCTACAGTGGGCCGTCCAGAAGCTCTGCAGTGTTTTCACTGGTGCAGTTCAATGCAAGTTCCCTCCAAAGAACAGCTATAAAACTCAGACATACTTTAATTTTGGGGATATACTTACAAATTCATCTTAAAGAAAGACTCAGTATTTTATGTTTTCTGCCCTGTTTGTTTTTGCACTTTAGCTCAAGAACATAATTTCAAAGAGGAAAGAGGCAAAACCCCCGAAAGACGATGCAGAGGTGAGAAGTGCTTTTATCTGACTTACTCTGTGTTTGCTGATGTTGCTGTCATTCCAGAGCTCCCACACTTTTTCTGATTGGAAATCCGACGTTCTTGCTAGAAGAAGAATCATGTTTTGGGTGACAGAAATCGGAAGCAGACCGTGCACTAAAAACTTTGATGTTGTAGTTGAATTTCTGATACCTTCTAAATTATACTGTCCTGCCAATCCAAAGTGATCATTACAACTGGGAAACAGCATTGTTGTTTCTTTGTTTTCTGAAAATATTTCCCTCAGAGGGGATGACAGGCACGGACGAGGTCATGCAAAGTTTCCCCAACCGGTGCGCCTCTTGGAATTATGGGATGTGGCTCAGAGCAGCTCTCAGGAATGTTACCCTTTACAATAAAATACTTTGGATGTCGCCCACGCACAGAGCATGAAGCAATCCGGGACCTAATGGGGCTTGTTACCGATGATGCTGAAAGCTAAATAACCATTAGGAGACTGCTTCATGACAAGGCTCTTGTCTTTCATCTGGCCTCTTTAGATAATAAAAGCGGTAGGGGCTATCTGGATGTCATAAGAATAGTTTTGCTGAAATGCCTGTGAAAGCCTCTAACAAAAGCCCAGCCTCTTTGTAGAATTTTTGTTTGGCTTGAAGATCCTTGTTACTAATACACGCTAGGAAAGGAAATCAGACTAGGTGCAAGTTGTCTAGAATACCAATCCAACATTTCTGTGTGAATCTCTTGAATTAAAAGGTGACTTTGCTACTTGATGAAGAAATTTAAATGGTTAAACATTAGATATTGCATCAAGAAAACTACAAAAACTGTTTAAAGGTCTTTAGAAAAATCGCTACAGATTTATGAGCGATGCAGGAAATTGTTTTTGTGCATAAACCAGAGTCTAAACTATTAAAAGAAAAATGTGTTTTTCTCAGTGGTTCAGTGTGAAATCTTAGTTTCATGCATAGAATCAAATTTGAAACGGTAAAGATTACACACAGTTATTTTCAGATTTTTCTGATGTAAATATACTTCCAGCTCCATTGACAGTACCTACAAACATCTGAAAAGCAGTGCTGATTTCACATTCTGTCAGTTTACACTAGCATTTGTTCTGCGGTAGATGCTTTAGCAATGTGCTTTATTGGCCGATTGTAAATAAGAGAAAAACTATTTCATTGTTGAAATTCAGACATGCTCCAAATCAAGGCCAGGCCAGGAACGGCAGAATCTTCCAAGATCAAAGTGTTTCTTAACATCATTCCACAGGGGGAATCCTGTTAATGAGACACTTGGCAAATGCTCCTGATGTTTGGAGTCGTGGACCCCTGCCTATTTATACTGAAAAATGTGCTCATTTGAAAGGATGGTGATATTTTGAGGTGAAAAGAGGAACCTGTTGCAGTCAGGTAGGGGTTTGAAGTACAGGCAGGGACTCGGCTGGGGGAGGCCCTGGCCTCGCGGGCCCTGACTGTCACACTCTGTCATCACGAGCCCACTGGAGACCCCAGGTTCGCACTCCGCCAGCCTCCCTTTCCCCTCTCGTGATCCGACGAGCACCAGAACCAGGAAGTACCCGCGGGATAGTGCCGGAGGCGGCACACTGTTCTCGCCGTGCCGCAGGGCGCGTGGGCCGGTCCAGCTCAGGGCAGGTGGCTGGGGTGAGGACCCCCGGCCCCTGTGGACAGGGGCAGGGAGTGGCTGGGTGCCTCAGAATGCACTGTGACAAGATCCCAGCGCGCCGCACATGGAAGATCAGACTGCACTGACAAAGCCCAGTTTTCACTTGTCATGGATTTCCAGGTGTGAGTCACTCCCTGCCAGCTCTCGGTTTCATTAAGATTGGGAGCCTCACCTAGTCCACAAGACGCCCTCGTTACAGAATTAAAAACTTGCTCAGGCTTGTCATTCTCTGATCTACATTGAGCCGGGGAGGCCCGCCTGTCAACGGGGGCTGCACACGCCCTTGCGTGTGCCCATGTGACTGACCACTCGACCTGTAGACTCCGCCAGACAGCTGGCCGTTTCGGCGGTTAACGCACTGGGGGTCACACTGGGCTCCTGACGGCACTGGGAGCAGCTCAGAGTTTGGCACTATCCTAGACGGTTTTATGTTCGGTTTTGTAAAAGAAGGAGACCTGATATTTAAATTGTCACCTCCTGCAGATCTGAAAATTCATGGCGGAGCAGGCTAACGCAAGGCAATCTGACATCCGCGGTGGGCTGGGTAGGGCAGGGGTTGCCTTTGCATTATTCAGTTTAATAATTACTGACAGGTCCCTCCCCACTTTTGTGGGTTTTCCTGCTGAAGCTGGAGAAGAGTGTTAAGCGGTAAAAACCCACAGCGCCACATGAAACATGGCACGCTGTCTCCAGGGCTCCGGCCAGCTAGGAGACCGGAAGACTCTGAATGGCTTCGCTTCCGAGGCTTGCTAGAATGAGGTGGAAAATTGAAAAGCTTTCTTGTACCGCTGTGTGCAATCCTATACTCTTAACAATATTGGCAGCTCCTCTAATTAGAAAAGATTATATCCTATTAAAATATTTTCTCTTGGCATGTGCGGCACACAGAATTAGACAGACTGCAGTCAAAGCGCTGTGAGCTGGAGAGTTTGAAAGCTCTGGAAATCCAGCAGGCGCTGTGAAGGCCATGCCGTCTTTGTACAACATAACACAACCGGAAGACTGGTTTTCCTTTCCCACCCTGCTGTGCTGCATGCTGATGGGTTTTCTTCTGTGCTCGCCCTGCGGTCCTCTTGCTCCAGCTGAGCTCGGTATCCCACAGGGGCAGAGTGATGACACTGAAGTGCAGCTGCTTGCAGGGTGCTGGTGGCGCTGTCCCGTGACGGCAGTGTGGAGCAGAGCTGGGTCAAACTGGTGTGTTTTTTTTTTTCTTCAGAAGTCTGGTGCTGAGGTTGGCGATGAAGTGTACACAACTCTGCAGGCGTACTTCTTTGGGAGGACTGGAAACCAGAAGCTCCAGTACAAGGACTTTTGCAGGTAAGACATGACATGCTGCATCCTGTACACCTGGGCTGTCCTGTATAATAATAATAACAACTTAAACAGCGCTTCTCTGGACACTCCACTCAAAGCTTTTTACAGGTAATGGGGATCCCTTCCACCAGTATAGCCCCACCTGGATGATGCTCCAGTCCTCTCACACACACCAGCTCTCAGTGTGGAGGAGAGCAGTGATGAAGCCAGTTCAGAGATGGGGATTATTAGGAGGCTATGACTGGAAAAGGACGGGGGAAATTTGGCCAGGACACAAGGGTTAACACCCCTACTGTTTTTGAAAAAAACTCTGGGATTTTAATGACCTCAGAGACTTGATAATGATTTAATCCCATTTTCAGAAGCGGAATTTTAGAAACTGGCCCGATTTCACGTTAATTGAATTAAAGTTCAATTAAAGGTTGAACTTAAGTCAAGATAACTGTGCCCTCTCAGTTAAGGTCTGTGTAATTAAAATTATTCTTCAATTTAATATGAATAAGATATACTAGACTTAGCCTTTGGAATTTGAGGAAATGTAAACGCATGACCTTTTCCTATGAAGAGTGCTGTATCCTGTTCTGGTTGTGCTGTAGAGACACTTTGCTTCTCAGGAGGACTGAAGTGAACACAGAGAGAGGTTTTCCTACCACGGTGAGAGGGAGGCCCAGCTCGTCAGAGCCTCACTTCTCAGGCCTCTCAGGGGTGATGCAGATGATTTTTCAACAAACTGACAGAGCTTTTTTTTTTTTCCTTTAATTGCATTGGAATGCTACACCGCCCCACCGCCATGTGTACACTCCATTTAAGTTGTTTCTCGATAGTGAAGTTTGTTCTGTATCTACAGCGCAGAATAAAGACTCCAGTGACATTTTAACCCAGGCACAGATATCGCTTTTCACTTGATTTTATTTGTTAGTAAATCAAGCACATCACGTCTTGGTTCCCATTGTTGGTGGAAGATGTGATTTCTATCTGTTGTGCACTGACAGCACTTTGCTTTGCCCAGGAAAGCCATCGCTGGCTCCTGATTAAAGAGGCCTTGCTGTTTTTACAAGAGATGAGTGACTAATGAGCACCACAGGCATGTATCACTGTCAGGGAAGAGTTAGATCCTTTACTGAGATTTGTTGTTGTTTTTTTTGTCAGATGGAATTGTTAAAAATCCATTTTAATCTCAATTACATTTTAAGCAGTGTATGCATTCAGGGCTTGTTTTTTAAAAGGCTTATTTTTCAGACTTTGAATTAACCGCTGAATTGTGATGCAGGGATTCAAGAGAGTTCTTAACCTTGCCAGTTGCCAGAGACTCGATGTCATTTGAAGGTTATGTGCTGTAGTTTATAAACAGAGATGCACTGCATCGTGAACTTTTAACTGTTGGAAAATAAATTCAGCCGCATGCTTTCCTACACGTGTCACACCTTGACAGCTTTATAGGACACTCTTTTTTCTGAAACATTGAAACCTATATTTTCATTCAGTTTTATGGATTGACCGGTATTTGCTAGAGCTCTTTTTTGAGCAGTATTTATTTACAGCAACAGAAAAAAAAACTGTAGATGTGCGGTGTTGTTGGTTTAATCTCAGTCGGGTTCCTGTAGTCGGAGACTACGTTCTTCCTCCGTCTGTGCAGGGAAGTAAAATCCTGATACATAGTTGCACAGCCCTCTGAAGTCCATTGGCTAACCATTGCGAACACTTTCAGCCCCTGACGAGTCCTGGATAAGTCCGTTTTGCTTGGCCAGGTGGGCAGATCCCCCGGCTGGAGCACGGCGATCTGGCCCACGCCGCGGTCTCCATGCGGTGCCCGGAAGTCTGGCTCACGAGCGCAGGCGGCCAGGTCGTGACACCAGTCTGCACTTGCCTGCACGGTCCGGGTCCGGCAGACTGGAGGAGAGCCGCATGGGTGCAGGGGGCGTGAGGGGGCGCACCACCTGTGCCAGTCACACTCCACATTCGCCCATCTGTTTCTCGGCACGTACCCGTTGTTTTTATCCGGTTTCATCTTCGGAGCCCATAGCATGGGCGCCACTCGGGGCGCACACAGCGCTTGACCGTCCGGATGTTGGCCAGATCCGCCACTGCAGTGGCAGAGCCCAGCGACACGGCTGCAATCCGTTACATCGCCCGGGTGCGGCAGGGCAGGGCCGCGCTGGCTCTTCATACGGTAACCTGTGTGATTGCAGGGCAGCATGACATCATTCATCAGATGGTTCAAATTGTGGTACACATGCGTGTCTGAGGTTCAACTAAAAATAATGCACTTTTCAAGTGCATCTTCTTTTTTTACATAGGTTAGCCTCTGGCGCCCTCTGCTGCTAGAACCATGGTAATGCAATGAGTTGAAGTGAATTTGAACGGCTGTAAACCATACCCTAATACTGTCAAGGGACAAGTAATAGGTTTATTCAATGCTGCAAAGAGAAGAAAGAAAACACAACGTTTTGGCTGTGGAGCCTTACACCCGAAGAAGGCTCCACAGCCAAAACATTGTGTTTTCTTTCTTCTCTTTTCAGCAGGGAATAAACCTATTGTTCCTTTGCAGTCTACGCATGCTAACGCAGCTCCCTACCTGAACTACTTCAACCTAACACTGTCAGCTACATTGTGGACTTTAAATATAAAGAGTATATTAAATATTAAAGGTATTTAATTTGAAGTTCTATTTTGATGCATTATCTAACAAAGCAAGAGACCTCTAACAGTAATAATAAAAAAGACCAAACCAAACCACTGGACTTTGTCAGAACCGACAGAGAAAGATTAATCAAAACAATGTAGAAGATAATTTACAACTAAAGGCAGAAGTCCCATTTTTACATAAAAGGTTAGGATAGTTTGGAACACTCTACCCACTATTGAGGATCATACCCTTGTTACTTTCATTAAAAGGATGCATGAGATAAATTAGCTACCATAAAGCCAGCAAGTTAGAGACCTCCTCTCATTTGCAAACTATGATCTTAAATTTAGAAGTCAGGACACAGAAAAATAACCTGGTCTCCCAAGATGAATATTGTGCTCATGTTGCTCAAAATTTGCTAATTTGCAATTAATCTTGGGGAAGATTTCTTGCAGCTCATGTAGGTGCTGACATACAATTAAGAATAGCAGCCATTTGCATAAAAATCCCCAGTAAATGAGGACCGTACCGTATTCAGGATGGATTTATATTGTGTTAAGTTTAACAATCATTTTTAACTCATAAATTAACGGCCTGACAAATATCCGGGACAATTTTGGCTTCCTGTTCTCATCTCACAACAGGTGAAGAAGACAGGTGGCTTAATGTGCTGGTAAGCTTCCCAGTACATGTCCAAGTATAGTATAACTTCTGTTTCAAACAGTGGCACTGTGTCTCTTTACTAGGGTACTGATTGAAGTCTGTTTAGTTTACAATACACCTATAGCCCAGGAGCCTGCATGGTGCAGCAAGGCATGTAGAGGGGTTAATGTTCTCCTCTGCGCAGGCGCAGCAGCTGCAGGGCTGTGCAGAGGGGTTAATGTTCTCCTCTGCGCAGGCACAGCAGTTGCAGGACTGTGCAGAGGGGTTAATGTTCTCCTCTGCGCAGGCACAGCAGCTGCAGGACTGTGCAGAGTGGTTAATGTTCTCCTCTGCGCAGGTGCAGCAGCTGCAGGGCTGTGCAGAGGGGTTAATGTTCTCCTCTGCGCAGGCGCAGCCACAGTAGGGTGTAACACTTAATGTGCTGATATAGTTTCCCAGAACATGTCCAGGTATAACTACCATTTCAAAAAGTGGCGCCGTGTCTCTTACTGGTGTACTGATCCGCTCCGTTCGTTGTGCAGCACACCTATAGCCCAGGGGCTTCAGGAGGGAAATTGTCCTTATTGTATATGGCCTGAGCAGTTTCCTTCCTGTCCCAGGTTCATGGAAGACCTGCAGGCAGAAGTGCAGGAGATGGAATTCCTGCAGTTCTCCAAGGGCATGGACACCATGCGGAGAGAGGACTTTGCCGAGTGGCTCTTGCACTATACCAACGAGGAGGACAACGAGGCCTACTGGGAAAACATGAGGAAGAGGATACCGCCTGGCCAGGTCAGAGCTGCGCAGACGGACGGACATTCATGCCGCTTGGAGCGTTCGGGCTGCAGATCACGGCGTGATGTGAACTGCAGGTTTAGGTTGTTGCTGTAATGGGTGTCTGGTGACAAGTCTAGTCTGGTGCAGATAACTGGTCTTCTGGAAGTGTCTTTGTACAAAAAAACTTAACTTTGTCTGTAAGATTGATTTTACAGCCAATGAAGCATGAAGTTAAAAAGCTAGAAGCAGCATTTAGATTGCCATTGAATGGTGACATTCTTGTGAAAACAGTAGATTGTATTTGCATTTTTCCAAATGTTTCTGTTGACTTTTCTCCTTTGTTTTTCTTCTAGAGCATCACTTTTGAAGAGTTCAAGTCGTTCTGTCTGTTCACAAACAACATAGAGGACTTTGCCTTCACAGTGAAAATAATCAATGAAGCTAACCGCCCTATAGGAATGGGTAACTTTCCTATGAGTCATTTAAGCAGCTTGACTTTCCTTCTTCGAGCCTGTCTTCACGCACACCAGCACTGAACTGAAGTCTCGGTCCCAACGAGAAAACAGCTCCCTTTGTATCCATGGGTAGCCAGTTCAGAAGCCCATCTCTTCAAACAGTATACATAATGTTCGGGCTTTTTTGTACAAAACGTTCTTTGCATTATTTTGCTGGATAGGCTGTCCAATAATACACACCAGGAAAACAATCTCAATGTTTGTTTTATTTCTGTAGCGGAATTCGAAAGAGCCGTCAGCATCGCAACAGGACACAAGCTTTCGGAAAATGTTCTGGACACTGTTTTCAAGATATTTGACCTGGACGGTGATAACTGCCTCAGTCATAAGGAATTCCTGGGAGTGATGAAAGACAGGATTCAGCGGGGGTTGAAGGTAAGTTGAGGGGGACAAGAATCCAGAGACTCTCAGAGAGCATCAGAAGGTTTATGGAGGTTATGATAGAGATGTGTTTCTATTCCCACACAGTGACAACTTCCTTTCTGTGGCAGCTACAGTGGAAGTGCATTTACCTATGTCAGAATGTGTGAGGATTGCCGACAAACTCTGTATTGTGGAATGCCTGCAGTTTAGAAGCCATGAGGGTTATTTTAGCCTGTTGGAATTTAAAACCAAACTGTCCAATCACATGGAACTTTGTGCAAGAGAACAGCTTTCCATCATTGTTATTCATTTGTTTAGTAAACAGCCTTATCCAAGGCAACTTAATGCGTGCGTGAAATTTGCATGAGGCAAGCAGAAGGAACAATCATGTACCCTGTGTACAACAGGATATAGGAATCAAACGACAGTAAGGTCAGCACAAGGTAGCGGGGGGTTAATGCAAATGCCGCACCAGGCAAAATGAAATTTCAGCAGAGATGAAAACAGCCTGGTGGTGTGTGTTCCCAGTGAATGAGAGCAGTAGGCAAAACACTACAGTGTTGGAGGGACTGGAGTGAGTAACTGCCAGTGACAGGAGGTCACTGCAGCAGGCTGTGCAGATGAGTTGATGTTCTCCTCTGCGCAGGTGCAGCCACAGCAGGCTGTGCAGATGGGCTGATGTTCTCCTCTGCGCAGGTGCAGCCACAGCAGGCTGTGCAG